GTGATTTTGATTACAACCCAGAAGACAAGGGAACTCTTGGTTCAAGTATTGGAGGAAGTTTGCCTTCGTGGTGAACTTTTTGATAGAAATAGCCTTCATTTTCCTTGCATAGAAGTCTTTACATGGAAGAAAACTACCCACAGTTAGCCTAACGGCAAAGGGCCTCTAATCCATGATCCGTCTGCCACTGAAGATATTTCATGTCAGCACTGTGGTCGGTGCGAGCAGAGTGCGACTAGCAGAGGCTGAGATTCGAACCCGAGATAACCTTATTAAGAGGAGTGTGCTCTATCCCCTGAGCCACTATGACTCATATGTTTCTGTAGAAATATATCCAAGCTTACTTTATGAACTATCGAAAAATCTAAATTATTATCTCTTAGGACCTGGATAGCCTGGTTGGTAGGGAACTGGGCCTATGTCCAAGAGGGCGGGGGTTCGATCCCTGTCTGCCGAAGACTCCCCATGTAGTAAATGGTGACTGATGCACGATTAATCTGTCGAGTCACAAAGTCCTCCGTGTTCCAATAACAAATCAATACCTCTGGGGGTACTGATCCAAGAGCTTCTGTGTCTTCTGGATTGGTTCAAAATTACAAGATTACGGAGTTTAACATTAGTTGTTGTATACCCAAAATTGGATCGGCTGTTCAACGACGGTTATTAAAAAGAAATTATTATCTCTCTATACTAAAAAATAGTAAGGGTCGCTGACGCCAATGTTACGAGTGTTCAACTTAACCTAACATTTTGCTTTGCTGTGCAAAAACTAAAAGAATTAGAAACCTGAAATTAGGAAAGTTTGTAGAAAAGTATACAGAAAATAAGATGAAACTAAAAAAAAAATAACATTCTACAATTATCTCGAGAATTATTAATTGTTAAACTTATAGGGAAAACTACCATACAGATAGCTTTATAGGCTGCAAAAATACAACTACAGAGTTGAAAATCAGAGTTGCTACAGAGTTGATACAAGGACTATACATATTATTAACTTATTAACTTAACACTAAGTTTTTTTCTTCTTTTCTTAAAAAATTTCAATTTGAAAATTATTGCAATTTTAAGTTTTTTTCTTTTTTTAAAAATTTGTTTCTTCTTTTTACGTTACATTTCGTTTAGCTGCTCAAAATCTATAAGAATTAGAAACTTCATCATAAACATAACCTTGATCTTCAATGATGAATAAGAAGCAACTACGGGGTTTGGTGAACGAAACATGCAGGGGGCAGAGGTTCCTATAGTACTATAAAAATATTAAAATATATAAGCTATATGATTATATGCTAAATGCCTTATAATAACAGCGGTAGCAGAGGGGAAAGAGCATTTGTCTCCCAATGAGGAGACCCAGGGTCGAGTCTCAGAGATATCTGGTCGATACAAATTCTGCAACCGGCTCACAGCAATCCAATCACCGACGTAACATTTCCTCAGTGGTGGGTGGGTTGCAGCAAGAATCCTGTTGCTGTATGACCATTCATGGAAAGTTTCACGGTTTTCCTGTCCGTGTAATGTAAATACGTGTAAGTTCCATCGAAATGTCCTTCCCAAGGAAGTCTAATTTGTCCCTGTGCTTGATCTAGGAGTTTCCTTGTCTTTGGGGTTGGGTTTAAAATTGCAAGGCTATAAAGTTAATAGTCGTAACAAATTGTTCAGCTGTTTAGCCCTGGTTATAAAATAAAATGGTGAATGATATTTATGCTTATGATAACCCTAGTTTTCTGGCGCAATTTTTTACACCTGTGAGAATTTTTTTTATTTCTTGACAGTGTTATTATAGCACAACTTTGTGTTTAAATAGCTTGTCATTATTTAAAAAGAAAAAAAAAATTTTTTTTCTAATATTATTTTTGTACCTCATAAATAACTAAAAAGTAAATTCAAGTTATTGAAGGATTACAGGAAGGATTATTGAAAGGGGGGAAGGGAAATTGTATTTGGATGCAAATGTGAAGGTGCAACGTCAAGGGTTCTCATCACTTATTGTAAGCTCCGATTCTTCAAATAAGAATCCAAAATGTTTGGGAGCAACAGCGAAGGGTCTTGCCAACAATGCACGCTCAGCAGGTCGGGGGTCAAGTCCAGACATTGTGAAAGCGAGTTCAACAAAGTAGACAGGAAAGTTTATTTGAAAAAAGAAAAAAAAATGGCGATGAAGCATAACCAAAAGAATAATCTCAACGGCCAAAAATTTCTCTCGTCTCCTATAGACCTTATTGTGTCTATGGTGGCTTTAAAAAAATCATATAGGTAAGATGTCCTATATGAGCATTGAGGTAAAAGTTTAGGAATAGAAAAGCTACTTTCTTAATTATGATGTTGAGAAATACTGACAGCAAGGCGTGGGTCAAGTTTTGGGGGATTTTTTTTTTTAAGAAGTGAAGCATCAGTTGAAGTCTATGATGACAGCTCCCTTGATGTTTGTAGATAGATATACGTGTAAATGGAGCATAGATTTTGGAAGATAAAAGTGTTGATAGGAGATCTACATGACAGAGGTATCGGGGGATAATTTGTTCTTGGCTTTTATCAACCTGTTCTGTGTAAAAAGTCAAGATAAGAGAAATTAATGGACTAAGTTTGAAAGAATATTATAATTTATCTGGGGTGGGTATTTTTAATATAGTTACTTTAAGAACTAACATTATCAGGCACTTAGTATTTTTTTTTTTTTTTTTTTTTTTTTTTTTTTTTTTTTTTTTTNGAATGACCTAAATTGCAGTTTTAGTTTATCGATCGACAAATTAATGATATAAGAGTTTATATTCAAATCAAAAATTTAATTATCATTTATATTGTTTTTATTTAATTATTATTATTCAATTATTATTATTTAAATATTATTAGTTAATTATTATCATTTAATTATTATAATTATTATGCCCTTAGTAGGAATTATAGTACCTTTAACTTACAATATTAATTCAACTTTCTAATTCAACTCTCTCTAATTCAACTCTCTCAACTTTCTAATTCAACTCTTTCTAATTCAACCTCTAATTCAACTTTCAATACGATCGTTTTTTCTTCAAATGACTTCAAATGTTTTTATCAAACCTTCAATATTTTCATCAAACCTTTAAATATAGCAGATCTAACTGCATACAGTTAAGTATATTGAATATGATTTTAATATTTTTTTTTCAAATTAGATGATAAAAGCGAGGATGACTGTCATATTTTTATCAACATATTTATGTTTTTATCAAACATTATATAAACTATATAGTTATTACTCAATATAGTTAAGTATGCTAGATATGATTTCAATATTTTTTTAAAACTAGATGATAAAAGCTAGGCTAATTGTCTGTCATATTTTCTTAACATATTTATGTTTTTATCTAACGTTAAACTATAATAGCAGTTATTACTCTATACAGTAAAGTATAATGCATTCAATTTAATATTTTTTTCAATAAAGATGGTAAAAACTAGGCTGATTGTTTGTTTTATCAAAACGTTTAAACTTTTTTTTATCAAACATTAAAATATAATAGCAGTTATTACTGTATAAAATATGTTACATTTCATATTATTCTTTTTTTCAAACCAGATGATAAAACTATAGACTCATTGTTTATTACATTTTTGTCAACATTTTTATATTTTTGTCAGACGTTAAACTACTCCGCTGTAAGAAATTAAGAGAATTTGCAGACTTAGTCGATTATCTCAAGAACTACTAGACCGATTTCAATGAAATTTGATATGTACATACATTGCAGAGATGCCAACTGCTCCGGACAAGCCGAAATGATTAAAAAAAATGGTGAATAACTGCAAAGTAAATTTTGCAAATATTTTACTATTTTTGCTTGCTTTTTAAGAGGTATAGCATGACATTAGTACTATAAAGTGGTGAATTACATAAGCCTACGAATTATTTCGAAATAGTGGTGGATAAAAATCTACTAAATTGAATTTATAAAACCANAAAACTATAGACTTATTGTTTATTACATTTTTGTCAACATTTTTATATTTTTGTCAGACTACACCGGTGTAAGAAATTAAAAGAATTTGCAGACTTGGTCGATTATCTCTAGAACTACTATATCGNAGAACTACTAGACCGATTTCAATGAAATTTGATATGTACATACATTGCAGAGATGCCAACTGCTCCGGACAAGTCGAAAAGATTAAAAAAAAATGGTGAGTAACTGCAAAGTAAATTTTGCAAATATTTGACTATTTTTGCTTGCTTTTTAAGAGGTATAGCATGACATTAGTACTATGAAGTGGTGAATTACATAAGCCTACGAATTATTTTGAAATGGTGGTGGATAAAAATCTACTAAATTGAATTTATTAAACCAAGAATCACAATTGATAAACTACCACTTTAAAATATATATTTGCTGTCCGGAGCAAGTGGCATCTCTGACATTGATACAATACAAAACAAATAACCTTTCAACAATTGTAATACACACGTATGATGGTGCGTAACCCTTGATGGAGTCGCCAGGTATGAAACAGCTATTGCAGAATGGGTTAATAGGGGGTATGGTCCCCTCTTAGAGATATACAGGCCTTGTAGCGTGATTTCTTACTTTGAATAAGGCAATATGATTTCTTACTATAAAGAAGGCAATTTATCATTTCCTGTCACAATTGTCCTGTGGCAATTTCATACCCTCCTACTCGAGCGAGTGTTACGCACAATCATGCGTGTGTATTACAATTGTTGATTGATTATTTATTTTGTATTGTATCAATGTATATACATATCAAATTTCCTTAAAATCGGTCCAGTAGTTCTAGAGATAATCGACCCAGTCTGCAAATTCTCTTAATTCTTTACACCAGTGTATTATGGCAATCATTATCGAATAACAGAACTTTACGCTGTTTGTTGTAATGTATTGTCTGTTATTATTTATAAATTGAAAAGATGCATCAATGATTTTTCCGAATAATAACAATTTTTGCACACACTTTTTTAAATGTTTCGGATTTGCAAAAATTAAAGTACCATCAGAACTTACCCTTCTTCCAGCTTCGTTATTGTGGAGATTCATGAGTTTTCGTCCCTGTTCACGAGAACCCCGAGCATGGTTGATTTCCCGCTCTTTTACATCAACAAAACCTTCAGTGAATCGATATCCATATTCGATATTGTCACCACATCCACCCCAGATCCAGTCTCGGTGGAGATTCTTGGGACGCATTGCCCTACTGCAGCCGCAATTGGACAGTTGGCCGTCCCGACAACCGCGGGACACAGTGTGGACCACTCCAGCAGCAGCTACAGCATGTGCGAAGCCTGCTTCCCTGCTGCCTACAATACAAATAAACAAATATGAAAGAGGATACTATTGAACTTAACTCTGTTATTAAATCTAAACAATGTGTTCTGCAAAGCCTTTAGGACTTACCGCCCTTAATAGGAGTTTTCAAAGTCCTTTTCAAAATTGAAAATGAAAAAGTATAAACATTGGATCACCCCAAATATACTTCAGAAAATCCAGGAAAAAACAAAAACGCTTCCGAAATCTAATAAATCACGGTTCAGGAATGCGAGAGTAATAAACAACAAGACAGGTGTGTTTGCGGGAGGAGACATAGAGCAATTGAAAGACTATTATTTCACCCCAAATATGTTATTAAAATGAACTTCAAATTTCAATCACCAAATAACTTGCTTTGATGTTAATTGTATTCGACTTCCCGTACTATGATTCGTCAAATTTTGGTAACGTTTTTTTTTTCTCCTTTGATTAATATACTCCAATATCTAAATCTTTTTTTTTTCATAAGTGACAAGGATTCTAAAAATACATATTAATGCTGGTCCTTATGAAGCACCCCGTAAGCCTATGTAGACTTAGTAGTGAAAGGTGCTATGTGGCATTTAAAAAAATGTATTTTTAATAATAGAAAAAAATTATTGAAGACTTTGCAAATAAAAACTGTTATTCTATATTCACAACTGTGTCCAAAATAATTGAAAACAAAAATTTTAATATTTTAAAAATTTCACTAGGAACTTTCCTTAACTAAGTTCGAATTGACTGATTTTTGTTAGATTCTTTCAGAATTCACCAAAAATTTCAATTGTTTAGTATAATGACAATATATGGTTACCCTGTTAACTAAGAATAATTAACATTGCAACTATTAATTTCCATGTAATTCGTCATGCTTCGTTGTTAATAGTTAAATTATTTTCTTTAACCAAGGGATGAAAGAATTTGGATCCGTATTAATTTCTTTTTCTCTCAACATGCTTTAAACAATTTTTATATTTTAATCAGATTTTTGAAGTATATTTGAGAAAACTTTTATTAGTATTTAATTAAACTTACGGAAAATAAAGACAATGGTGGCACACCTGAAAACCATGTTATTTTCTGTACCTATATATATATATGGCAAAATTTAGCTTATTAATTTTTAGCTAAAATTTAGCTTATTTTCCATTAACTGTAAGTATTACAAAATAAAGCAGAAAAACTTGTAATATTAATAATACATACACACACAAAAAGAAATTTAATACAAAAAATGTAAATACAGTGCTCTTAAAATTTAACATGTTCCTGACGATTGCAATCCAAGACAAGGCATCAGATTCCGGATCGCATCATCTCAACGTGATGACGCATCACTTGCTCTCCATCCTCCTTGCATCTTCCTTACAGCAGGATCACATCATAACGCCAAAAGATGCTGAGGAGCTTATGATCCGGAAAAGAGTTGATTTCGCATCATCTGGAAATGCCTAATTAGTGATTCCCTTTTTGAAAGAGAATATCACTGTCCGTGGGGGTGGGGGTGGGATGAATTGAGAAAAGGGGTTGAGCAAAGGTTAAGCGGGTGTGAAGTAGCAAGCGAAAAGAACAAGATTGTGGAAATCATCATTTATCACCTTTGTGAGGGGGACTGCAAAAGAGATCATTAGAGATCATTAGGGAACTCTAATGGGCCAGCGAAGACAGGCTGACGTATGGGTCTCGTGACAAAATTACAGGCCTATCCCCCCGAGCCCCCCTGCCTAGAGTGCTGTTTCATCTTCAAACTATAGACACGTGGATTTCACGTGATATGCATCATATTATGCAATTTTTTTTTCGTGATTTGAGAGCAATTTTTTTCTGCCTCTTTGGGACATGGGTGTCAATCTTTTCCTACTTTAGAAATTTGATTTTCCCTATTGCTTTTCATAAATTGTACATGTGGGGGTCCATTTTAGTTGGAGTTTAAATTTACTTGGAAAGCAGGCGTTGTCACACGGCGAGATTAAGTTGAAAAATAAGTTTATTAACTTTTTGTCAACTTTGCTTTTCGTTTATTGACTTATTTATTTATTTTTATCCTTTCAGATTTTCTCCAGAGTAACGTTTTCGTAACTGATTTCTGAAGTATGGATATTAAGGATATGAAAATGTTAGAAAATACCGTAAAGAGATTTTAACTAGAAATGAAAAAGTAACAAGCTTATACAGAATTTTTTCAGACTCCATGCGATTTATAGATATTTTCTTGCAACTCCATAAGAGTTTCACAGTTTTTCAAATTGCAAAATGAAAAAGTTACAGCATTTCTATTTTACATGACAATTTAAGAAAATTATGCATGTCATGCAGTTGAGCCGTACTCAAACGGGGAGGAAAAAAAGAGGGACAAATGTCCGGGGCCCATAACGGCTGAGGGGACCCGAGCAAAATTCTTCGCGAAATATATAGTGTTTATTTGCGTTCTTTTAAAAGAATTATATAAACACTACAATTTTGTGTAAAAGGTTTTCAAAAAATTTAGAGATTATTAAAAATAAGTTGTTGTTGTTTTTTTGTGTTTTGAAGAGATGGTCTGCAATAAATTTTGTCCAGGGGCCTGAAAAACCTTTGTTCAGCCTTGTATGTAGGCTCTCTTTTTCCTCCGCTACCCTGCAGCTTTCATGGGCCCAGCCAGGGACTAATATAGGCATACTCAGCATACCCACCTATAAAAGACGGAGGGGGCTGGATCCGATTTTACCCCACGAGCTGTCGGAACGGAATAGAACAGTGCTACTTATTGTTTGTCTTTATTGTTTGTTAGGTAATGAGATCTTCAATTAACGTATAATAAGCAGGACTAAAAATAATTTGTATAGCTGCATTGACCAATAAATATCTACACAGACGCCTAGAAAAAATCAACCCGCCAATATGGCAGTTCCTTTTTGCCTAGTAAAATGTAATTCAGCGTTTTTTTGCCAAAAAACAGAATAATTTCGATAAAATCGGGGTTTTACCTAACTTTACTCTGCAAAAGCAATGTAGTTTCATAGATTACCGTTAATGAACATAACGAGCATTGGCAAAGTCATAAGCGCACCATAATTCCGACAATTATCTGACAGCATGCAGAAAAAAAAAGAAAGAAACAGAATTTTTTTAAATAACTACATTTTTTTTTTTACAAGATATAATCGAGCTTCATATTTTCATTGAAGCATTAAATTTATTTTTCTAAACAAGAGCAGTTTTAATTTTTTTTTTTTTTAAAAAAAGGGAAGTTTAATTTTTTTTTCTTCTTTTAAATAAAAAAGAGTAGTTTTTTTTTTAAATCTTTAAATAATTAATTAGAGTTTCATTCTGTGAACGCATATGACATTAAAATCAGAATCAAAGTTTATCAAAAGTAATTATATTCACCAAGTCTATTCTTTTAATGAAGCACTTGAATACTATTGAAAAAGTCAATATTAGTTCTAAATTAATTAGTGCAATATTTTTCTTTTAATTTAAAAAATTTCACAAGTTGTATTTTGAAAAAAAATTTCAGTGTAAACTTTGTGTTTAATTCTTTTTTCCGTAAAATCCATTTTTACGTGTTTGGGAACAAAAAAATCGGATATACAGTAACATTTACAGAAATAATTACAAAAAACATCAGTGCATCACTTCAATGTTAAATAAATATTGCTGTAAAAATGGATTTTACGGAGGATACATCCAAATTGCCGGGACTTTATACTGTAATTTCATCTGGAATTTTTTACAGTGTATTAGACCTGCAACATGCATTTAAGCAATATAGATAAGTTTCAACGTGATAAACTATTATTGATTAAATTATCAGCAGAAACTTACAAAATAGCTTCAAATAAATGCAAATCCATTTATTTTTAGTATAGAGAATGTAGCGCTTAACTATTTTGACCGTTAGTTTAAAAATAAAGAGAGAGACACAAATGCAAAGGGGAAAGAATTTATGATCACTAGTTTCGTTTAGTTAGTTTTGTAAATAATGATTTCCTTTTCTACAATTGGCTGTTCTCCAGTAAAAAGTATCAACTTTTAAAATCATGTGTTAACCCCTGAATATATTACAACAGAATAGAGATTTCCGACAAAAAAAAGCACTGCACTTTTAAAAGATTTTTAAATGGAAAGCTTTGTAGAAGAGCCAAAAACTCTAAAATGTATTGCAGGAATAGCGATAAATATACAGCTAATATATTGATGTTATCATAGGTTGCATTTTATATTTTTTTTAGGAAATGAGGTAAACTGTTTTAGTCACATGTCAAGAAAAAACCATCATATGTTTTCTAAGTTATCGTTGTTAATGCCCTACAGTACGTTATATTTTTAAATCTATTCAGTCATTGGTTCCCAACGTGGGCGCTCTAGACTTCTGGTTAGGGGGGGGGATGACGTTATCATAGGATCTGTGACAGCTGACAGAAGAAATTTTTTAAAAAATACATAAAATAAGAACAAAAAATTTTTAATTTAAAAGAAACACATTTTTACTGTATTTTTTTTTATACAAATTTAAGGTTTCTGAAAATTTTTGTACTTTCTTTAACACTTAAAACATTTGAATTTTTACAGTTTACTTATAACTATTCGACTTTGAATCACAATAATAGATGGACAACATTTGCGAATTTCAGGTTGTTTCAATTTCTTTATTAATCAATTTTTCTTTACAGACCTATATAAAATATTTATAGGTAAATAGCATGCTTAATTTAAATTTAATCGCATTCTGATCCTTTTATGCAAACACTTATCAAATCTTTCCTATTGTTTTTTTTTAATAAAAATTGTTTTTAATTAATAAATTTGTTGGTTAGTAGGAATTTCCAATAAATTAACGCCATGATAAAAGTGTATTACATTAAAAGTATTAAACAACTTCAAAAAAGTAGTTAAAAATATTTCAAAAAAAGGTTGGGAACCTGTGGCTAAGAGTATATTTGGTATGTTTCCACTTATTGATCCTTTTATAATTATCACAATAAAAGCTTTTCTTTTATTTTCTGCAGATAATTGATGAAAACCGTATAATGTGTTTCGTAAGTATTTTGAATTACGCAATTGTTTATTTTAAAAGATTAAAATTTTATTTTTAAGGTTTAATTATTAAAAAAAATTAAATAAAAAGAAAACACACATTACAAGATTTTAATTAACATGTTAAGGCAAAAAAAAGTCCCTAGCAAAATCCATCCATCTTCTTTTTTTTTTTAAGTAATTTTTCTAGGCGCATATATTATTTTCAGTAGAATTTATGACAAAATCATTTTAAAAATTTCGAAAGGTATGTATTTGATTTTTAACTCAATTTTCAACTTTTCTTTAATTTCAAATCTTATTAATTATTCTTAGAACATCGATAAAAAATTCTAAAATATTTTTAAAGAAAAAAATTACAGACGTTTGTTTCCTTGAATATAAAGAATCTCCTTAAAAGGAATTCGTAACTTTTCGAAATTATTATGCCCAAATATTTTTATTTTTTTCGGTCAAATTTCTAGTACAATTATCTCATAAAGTTTGAAAAGAGTAGATTTGAATTCTTACAATAAATAAATAAATTAATTTTCTTCATTTCCAATATTAACATAAGAAGAAATAATGTAAGAAGAAATATTAAAAAAAAAATTCTACATAAAATACCAGAAACCAGTTGTAAATGCTTAACACAATTATAAATACTTAAAACAATTATTTGGTTATTTTCAACTTTTCTCAGATAATTGTACTAGACATTTGTATTTTCCCACATTCACTTAGCATTCCTAAAAAAATTCAAGATAGATGGTGTTGTTGAGTCCACCACGCAACAACGTTTATATATTTAATTACGTTTCGTATACCTCGCTTCTTTTCGTTTGTTCTTTCCTTTCTTTTTCTCCTGCAGTTATTAAAATGAAAGCTTTTAAAATACAGACTTTTGTACTTTTCTTATTTGAATGACTTAAAGTAAATTTCCAGGTCCACAGTCATATTTATGTGAAAGAGTGATTCCACGACAGAGGGACAGTTAGAGAAGTTATAATTTTACCCATGTTTTCTTATAAATATGAATAAAATTCACATATCATACTAAGATATTTTAAATTTGGTATATATTTACATTTGGTATTAAGATGTACTCTAGTATTAGTTGCCACAAAGCTATACACTATTCGTTATATACGCGTACTTGGTGTTAAAATATACATGTGTAATGTATTCTTATTTGGTACACTATTTAGTATGTGTTCAAGTTTTGATATTTATTCACATTTAGTACTAAGATATACGAAGGAATTCGATCAGTTTCTTCATTTCCAGCTGTGGTAAGGGGTAAGTTTAATTACAGAAATAAAATGATTAATAGCATACTATGAAACAATTTATAAAATCCAAGCATTTGTGTGTTTTACACAACTTTCATGAATTATGAATAAAATTCCCATCTGTTATTGAGATATTTCACATTAGGTACTGAAATATACCCGATTTAGTAAGTATTCACATTTACCAACAAAGATATACACTATTTGTTATACATTCGTAATTGGTATTAAACTATACATTATTTGGTATGTATTCGTATTTGGCCCTAAGGTATTCACTATTTAATATGTGTTCATACTGAGTACTAAGATATACACTATTTGGTATACATTCACGTTTGGTCCTAAGATATACGAAGAACTCGATCATTTTCCTCATTTCAATCAGCGGTAAAGGGTAAGACGTGAATAAAATTATAAAAGCATATGACAAATGAATGATTTATAAAATTTAATTCATTGAGTATATACACTATTTGGAAGAAAGTAACGGGACACTATAACGACATAAACCCATATTTATTAAAATTAATAGGAGGTAGAGCCTCCTTTGGCTGCCATCACAGCTGCAACCCTTCTGGGCATGCTTTCCACTAAATTAGCCATAGTGTCAACAGGAATTTCCTTCCAAATGTTTAACAGGAAGTTCAATAGTTCAGGCTTGCTTTTGGGGAGTGGGGTGCAGGCCCTCAACCGACTGTCCAATTCGTCCCAGAGATGTTCAATTGGGTTAATATCAGGGCTCTGCGCCAGCCACTCCATGCGTTTAACGTTGTTGTTCACATACCAATCAAGAGTCCTCCTTGCAACATGGGATCTTGCGCTGTCGTCTTGATACAAGCAATCATCCATACCGTAAATTACCCGCAAGGTTGGAAGGACATGATTATCGAGAATATCACAGTATCCATCAGCATTCATCATACCATCAACCTTCACCAGTGGGCCAGGCCCATACTAGGAGAAACGGGCCCATACCATCAATCCTGCTCCACCAAACTTTACAGTTGTCCCGTCACTTTCTTCCAGATAGTGTATAATAATGATGACGTTTTAAAATGTATATTGTAACATGAAATGCACTAAATTAAAATAAGTTTATAAATCATACCTATATTAAGTACTGGCCCAAACACGCTAGAATCATCTACTGTGGAACAGTTCCACCTTCTGTTTTTAAATTGCCACTGACATTCGTGAATGCCGAGACGCGCCCCTCTGGCGACATGTGCCATATGATCTTGGTACAGGTAACATAATTTAGTTTGGCCCCTAGACAACCCACTCAATCGACTACAGAGAGGTTGAGCGCCAAGCAAGTAGGCTTGAGGATTTCTTAGAACATCAATTCCTTGCAAGCCAAGGTTCCTGAAAAATAATAATAATCGTAGTAGATAAACAATAGTTTAGGCTTTTGATTTAATTAAGAATATAGAAAGAAACAACGTATTTTACACTTCAATGAATATTAGAATACGACAATCATCATGAAATATTTCAAGCTGTTTTTACTGTAGAATAAACACAAGACAAAGCAATCAACATCAACATTGGCGGTATATCCCAAGAAAGACCATTGCAATAGTTGAACATTTTTACCATTCCACACGATGAGTTGCTTCTGTTTCCAGCTCAAGTTAGTTAATTTTAGTCTTTTTAAGTCCTTTTCGTCTCGATCTCACCATTATTTAATACTTAATCACTTCCTTTGGGATAAAGATTCACGGGGATTTTCTTCAAGAGGAAGCCAAACTACGAGAGAAACTTTTCGCAACAAATTTTGTTTCACCTCCATTGGTACCCAATTTAAAATTAAAAATAGAGAAAGGAAAAAAAGAGAGTTGAAGTGTGCCCAGAATAAATCAAGAAGTTCCAAATGCTGATTTTTTTCAAAATATCGAAATGCAAACGAATTATGGCAGAATTATGCAGTAGGGAAGAAAAGTATGCTAGTAAGTTTCAAAGTCGGATTTAGGTTTAATAAAATTCTTCGATTAGAATCATTCGATTAGAATCATCACATTATCTATCTATTAATCATCACATTAATCTTACTCAAAAATAATGCACATAATCTGGAATTTCTTTTAAAAAAATATTCTCATAGATAATAAAACGGTTGTACAGGAGGAATCCATCTAAAACCGCTATACATCTCAGTTAAGAACTTCAAAGAAATAATAATAATCTTCAAAGATCAATCAGATTTTCAAAGCACTGAATCAATTCAACAGGGTGATATGAACAAATGGTGTTGGAGTGGCAAGTTCTCTATTTTTTTCTCATATTACCTAATGCCAGGAAAGTGACGTGAAAACCTTGGGACAAGCTTTCAAATGATACATCTTGCTCAGTTAAATAACTGGACGGATTTTTAAAAAAATATTACTTCACCCTTTAAACTAAATATACATTCATATCCAAAAATTACGGATAATTCAGAATCACACGGAAATTGAAATCTAAGGCAAAAATTTCATCTGTAGAATTATCACACATATCTTCAAGAATAATATGTAAAATATAGGAAGCCACAAGGGGACTCCGATAGTGTGCCACATTGACGAGAGTGTAAGGATTGGTGGCAAAAAAAGTAAAATTGTTCACAAGCATTCTGTGAGCTGCTCAGTGTCAGAACAGATGGAAAAATTATCGGCCGTCTGGAGTGTGGCCATTCTCAGAAGTGTTCGTGGAACTTGAAATTGACTAAAGTGTCTTGTCTAAGTTTTGACAACGGTTCCAATTTGATGGAACTGTTAACAGACGTTAAAGTACAAGTCTATCTCAAATTACAACGCCGAATGAAGTCCAGTATTTGGCAGTAACTGCCAAAAGAAGCAAACTGGACCACAGTATCCGACCTGTCTCGTCAGTTATCTGCAGCCACGAGTACCACAGTCTCAATACAAATCGTGTGCAGACATCTGGGAAATATTGGTTTGTATGATTCCAGGCCTGCTCGTTTGGGTTAGAATTATACTGGGCTCCAGAAGAGATCTGTAAGTTCAAATCAGGATCGTAACAGGCCAAATTTATCGTGACTTCATTCTGGAGCAACATGTACGTTTACTTAGGGTACCATGGCCGTAAAATTTGAGTTTATAAACAACCCGTCCTTACCGAGAAAACATCTTAGGCGAATGCTTTCAATCCGAGTACATCACAAGTATAGAATGGCCAGCATTCTTACCTGACTTTAATCCGATGAACATGCTCGGCATACGAGTTTCAGCATGCAATCCGGTACACATGACCCCCTACACGTGCGGAGAGCCTTTCTTGCCAAGTGGACTTTTCTTCTCAAGATCAGCTCGGTAGAGCCGTGATGGTTCAGGGGATAAAGCATTCGCCTTCCAATAAGGTGAACCGAGTTTGAATCCCAGCAATGGCTGGTTGCTACGAATTTCGCATCCGGTTTGCACCGACCACAGTGATGACGTAAAATATCATCAGTGGCAGACGGATCATAAGTTAGAATACCCTTGTCGTCAGGCTAACCATGGGAGGTTTTCATGGTTTTCCTCTTCATGTAACGCAAATGCGGATTAGTTTCATCAAAAAGTGCTCCACGAAGGTAAATTTCTCCCAACACTTAGTCCAAGAGTCTTCTTCTAGAAACCTGTCTTCTGGATTGAGTTTAAAACTACAAGGCTACGGAGTTAAACATTAGAAGTCGTAAACCCGAAAATTGGGCAGACTGTTCAACGACGGTTATAAAATAAAATATTGAAATTTTAATATAGTTTTAATAGTATTAAAATTTTAAATATCGCTCAATATAATCTAAATATCAATTAATCAGGAGAATTTCATAATTGATATCTGATCATATTTATTTTACATATCCCTCTAAATGTCTTAATTAATCACTTAAATTTCTTAATTTTTCTATGATCATATTGAATTTTAATTCATCACTTTGAACTTAATCAATAAGAATTTCATAATTGATCTCCGAAATACACATTTTAAGTCACTCTTCGTCCCCTAAAACTAAATTAATCATGTAAATTTCATAATTGATCTTCTAAACATTAAGAAATTTTAAATCTAACACTTCATCAATTAATCAGTTAAATTTCATTGATGATCATTAATCACGTTGACACTTTAAATGTAACATTTCATCATTTAATAGCTCGATTAATCAGGTTAATTTCATAATTCATCCTTCATGACATTGGATTTTTAAATATCACTCCTCACCTCTAAGAAAACAAAAACATTAGCAAAACAAAAAGTACAGTCTGGAAAGAAGAAGAAAAAAAACTGAACCATCTAAAATAACTTTTGATCTAATGATCGGAACTTCATGTTCTACGACTCAATTTTAAAGGTTCAAGGGAGTAACCACAATTGTGCTAAATAATTAGTAATTATTTAATCAATTAATATTATTAAAATTATTATTATTAAAATTATTTAATCAAGTTAAAAATCGTATTTTGAAAATTCAATTTTTTAGGAAATATTCGGCTGATTTCGCTGAAATTTTGTATTCTGTCACGTAAAATTGCATTCTTTATAATGACGTAAAAAATTATATACCTTACAATTCAAATTTTTCTTTACTATTATTAAATAAAATAATAAACATTCGCTAAAAGTTACTTTTCGCATGAAATTATCTTTGGAAATCGAATTTTATAATTGCGTTAGAACATTTTTCAATTCACTTATAAAGTTTTCGAGATGTACAAAATACGCTAAAGGTAAAATTTACATTAAGGAGTTCAAACTTTGGATCGCTCTCCTGACCAAACGATTATGATCCTATTTCCAAGATTGTGACTGCACCCGATCTATCGGAGGACAGAAATCTAAATCCATAATAAAAAAAGGGTACATTTATTCCAAGAGTAGCGTTTCTGTGTCTGATTTCATAATTTAAAATACTGTCTGCACTAATTAATTAACATATTTGAAATCACCCTTTCGAACCATTAAGATTGAGTCCTTAACCGTGAATTAATCGGATCATTAGATCAAAAATTAAGAAGGGTGGTATTTTACACTTCACATTTGAACTTTAGATTCCTACGGTGCCACAGACAACTCATTTTTTGAAAGCTATTCACCTCGTTAAAGATGACGACCTGAAAATAATTATTTTGGCAAAGATTGAAGATGGAGACACGCAGGCTGGAACAATCGACAACTTAAATCCTCTATTTTTAAATTTAACCTTTCTTTTTATGCGAGCATCCCCTAAAAGAGAGGGTGTTTACTGCACTTCTATTAATAAAATGAACAAGATATACATGTCTGCATGACTCTTTAAGAATTTTTATTCGAAAAGAACAATCAAATCATTTGTTTTAAAAATGCACTGCAATTCCAAAAAAATAAATAAATAAATAAGTTTTCGCATTCTAGAGAAAACTGTGAAAAAGACAAAAGTCAAAGTCACAAAAAAGTACATTTGGCTAATTCGGGAATAAGTCAGTTTCGAAAACTGAAATTTACATTGCTTCATATTTAAAAACAACAATTTTATGCCGCAGAAAAATTAATATTTAAGAGTTTTGTGTTTTAATATTACTACTATTATTATTATTATTTTCACACGTGCGTTTACTTTAAAGAATGAAAATTATATTGAAAAGTTAATAAATAATAATTAATGTAAATAGAGAAAGAGAAGCTTTAACACTTTTGACGTAGATGAGACACCAATGCATATATTTATATATACCTTATATATACATATATATATATATTTTTACTGACGATTTAATTGCTAGGAAAAATATATTTCGATATTTTTTGGTTATAAAAAACAACCTAATAATTACTACAAAAAATCTGTTAGATTATCGGAATTATATTTGTATTAAAATATGAAATCCAAAAAATGAGTAATTTTTTTCATTTATATTCACAAATTTATGAATAATTGATTTTGAAAATTTAGGAAAGTTCAATAATAAATAACTGTTTCTCTTTGATCTAAAAAGCTGCAAATAAGCGCAAATTTGAAAAATTATTATTTTGAAGTGAGCTTTGTTTGAAAGGTTTTACCTTTCATTTTTGCTTTTATTAACTGAAAGTTGGGCACCTGGGCCGCGCATATATCCCATTCATCATGAAAATATTTACAGACAGTGAATAAAAACATTTTGTGATAAGCAAGATTATGGTAGCTATGTCATATTTTTACTTTCATGCAGAGATGTCAATTTGCTCCGTTTTGCAAAAAGATATTTTTAGTGGCAACGAAATTTAAGTTATTTTTAGTTTAGTTTCTTTTTTAATTTACGTAATTTTTCTACCACTACTTGTCAAATATTCAAAGTAAGATACAAACGCTCCTTTATTGCAGTTATATCGTAGTGACACTTAAAAGAGTAAGCGTAATTATCCTTATT